TGGAAACCAAAGAAAATGAATATATTTTTAATATAGCTATCTTATCACAAATAATGAAACCAGTATTTACGTTTCTCTTTGGAACTTTTCCGATAATTATTAATCGTAAAACTAGAATCTTTTGCGCAACCGTTGAATATTAACTGCTAACCGACTTGTTTATCGTAAACGTAGGTCTTATGTAAAATGGTCATTTAGAAAAGTGAGCAAAAAATAACAGGCCGTGAACGCAATTATGCAAGAATAGTAACAATATCATATAATAATATATCAGCATCTTCATTTGTTTCTTTTTTCACGAACTGAACACCTGTTTCATTTTCTTTGGAAATTATATCAACGACCAATAAACCTCGAGAGTATGAATCTGATAAAACGCGGAGGTACTTTCTTTTCTCATTTGGAACAAATCTGTGATCGTTAACCGATCTGTTCCCTTGTAAGGTCTAAATCGCACCATGGTCTTATAGAGGTTATCGGACTGATAGAGCTTCGGAGTTTTCTTTTCTTAGATTAGATTAGCTCTCGAGAGTGCTCCATTTCGATAATTTCCACTAAACTGATGTCTCTAATTCATTCCCTTTTCGTAATTGTCTTCACAGTTCTTATGATCAGTCGTACATACAATTAATTTTATTTTCACAATTTTCAATAATATTCATAGAAAGAGAATAGGCCCTTTTTGTAGTTACGCTAACAGCTTACAAAGTACCAAAAAATTGTAATTATGAGAGAAAATAATTTTATAATTATATAAATGTAACCCTGTCTCTATTTAATAATTTTTAATACATTTCGAAAAAGAGAATTAAAATCAAGACAGTCTCTTGTAAAAAGAGTAAGGAGGTAAACATAAAGTTTGGACGTAAAAGTAAAAATGCGAGGAGGAAGAACAGCGACAAGAAAAAGAAAGAATACCCCGCGGCTGATCAAATGACGACGAACGAGTAAGATCAACTTTAATCGGCTATGATTCTTATGAGCGGTGGCTTACATCGTATGCGAGGATAACACCGCGCGGAGGTCGCGGGAAAGAATACCTTTTAGCCTCTTTTATCGGGTTCACTCGTGCGTCAATGACGGCGGTGGCTTCTTCCATGGAGATAATGTCGTCCTGCTGCTTTAACAAGGCCGGAATAATCGTTTTTGTGAGACACGAGCACGTCGCGACGCGCCTATGCTATTTTCTTCTTTTCTCTCTCTCTCTTTCACTATCTTTCTCCCTCTACACATATTAGTATAATAGTAGATGCGATTCGTTACACGTGCTTTACGCCCCGCGATACCGACTTCATTTTTTTTCTTTATGTCGCACAAACAACGTAGGAAAGTCGCAGTAACAGATTACATATTCAGACCTCTAATTACTCTACAAGACCGAGTCATCGTTTGCATTGATTAATACTCAAATAGTAATCAATATGATATACTTATAAACATTCATTGATATTGCTTCCATTAATCCTTAAAGTAAAATAGATTTTCAATGAAATATACTAAGTACAATTTAAACTAAAACTTTTAGAGTATATTGAAATATCTGCATTAATAAAAATTGTTGGATTATACATACAAAAACTAATTACATCGTCGTACCGGCAGTTTCTTATAATACCATCTTTTTTTGTGATCTTTAGTTAGAGTTGTTCTATTGCCTATTCAATTTTTTTCATTTTATCAAGAGACTACGTAGTTATTTAAAATTCAAGGAAGTTCCAATCGAGGGAAACGTCAAGACGGCGCCTGATGTGATAATAAAGCCGAAGAAAATGGCTCCTCGTTTAAAATTAGTTGCTAAAATTTATCGTGCGGTAGGGGCGTCGCAAAAGAGAGAAAAATAAATTAAGGACGATAAAAGCACGCCGTAGCGGAGGTACGCCGCGTTAATAGTTGCCGTATAATATTAATATATGTGTACGCTGACTTTACGATTATTTGTGTCCGCGCTGAAGCGTAGCTGAGGGTAATTAAGTATTCGTGAAATACGACGTACTAACGAACCGCTTTCCAGCTCGTCGTGCCATTCAACGTTATCCCTCGTCATTCAACGCTTTGTCCATGAAAAAATACATACGTAAGATCGTTCACCAAAATCCAAGTAACATTAACAAATCAAATTGTTGATTCTAGAGAAAATGCGATTTTTTTTGGAGTTGATAACTCTTGAAAATTATTTTATGAGTTCTACAATTTTGCTTCGTTTTAGTATAATCTCAACCTTTGAGTACGAGAGTTAAATCGATCTATGAAAATTATTAATCGTAAATCTTAATTCCATGAATCAATGTGCTGTCGCACTGGATCCTTTCGATAACGGTCCCTAAAATTCCATGCGAATTCCGTACTCCACTCGTTCTCCATAAACCACCGCATCCCATTGCGACCCAACCCACCTAGTTCCCCTCCTCGACTACTTAACTCGACTCACCCCGCCGTTCTCTGGCTTCTCCCTCGCGTGGCCCGTTCATTTTTCTCTGTCCACGGTGCGGTGCGGTGGAGAGTGGAGGTAGGCTCGTGTCCGTTCGTTCGGCAGCGGCACAAAAGGCCGCCTTGCGTGCGCCGGTATCTTCGACCTTTGACCCCACAGCCCGGCTCCTTATTTCTTCTCCGGGAGACCGAGAGAAGAGGAGTGGAAGGCTCGAAAAAACACGGCGTTACGGGGCGCGCGTGTTATCGCGTGCGCGCAGGGGGCATCGCGGCTATCCTTCCGTCGGGGTCACCGCGTGGGTCATCCTCGTGACCCAGCCAGACCCGTGACTAGTGATGGGAACGAGGCTTGGATTCGAAGCCAGGCCAGTCTCGTATAAGGGATAACTGGTATAAGATTTCTTTCCTCTTTTACGATTAATATTTTTGTATATATTCTCTTTGTTTTAACAAAACTATAATCCACGATGTATATTGTTTCACATCGACTACATTTATTTTACGACACGTTTGGTTAATCATTATTAAATAGATACACTCGGCTGTTCATTCTACTGAAGTTTAAATGTCAGACTATGAGACAGTAAAAGCAGCAGGTTTTGTGTTGAAGTGGCTTTTTCCACACGATTATCGAGAAGTCACAGATTTCAAATGTGACCTAAGATTTGCAAATAAATGGAGGCACAGTTCTATATGCGCACTAGATAGGACACAGACGGCATTCAAATTATTAAGAAAGCAATGTTATAATTTAAAATCCAGTTTGACGTCAATTAGAAGTAAATGAATTCTGGAATCAATATTCTGACGTTCACGTATGACTATCTTCAAACTATGCTTCTTAAATCATCTCCAAAATTAAATAATTTTTATTTTAGAATTTAAAGTATCTTCTTCCACGCTCATAGTCAGTTGTTCGAACAATGAACGAAGATCATATTTACGCATAACCGGCTTTCGAAGTTTCGAGTTCAACAATTCCAAGGCTTTTTTCTTAACCCGCGGCGTGTGACTCACGTTTCTGGTGTCAGTCTCGAGCCACAGGACAAGGAAACTCCATTGGGAAAGAAAGGAAAAAGGGTCGTCGGCTAGACGATAACCTAGAAGCCTCGCGTCTCTCGCTGATAAACGCGCCGATAACAGAAGCGAGTTCTCTCGCGATAAACCACAGGAGCTGTTTACTCGGCCTAGTGACAGCGACAACGTAGCAACGTATAAAAGCTGTCCCAGAAATTGTTCTATTTTGAAGTATCGAAGTATGAAACTTCTATTCTATTCTAATTAAAAATTATTAAACATAAGCAATATTTTTATTTACTTCTTCGTTGCATAATAATTTAATTCAATGAGTAGAACTCTGACATGGTCACAGCATACTGAATGCTTATTAATAAAATAATCCTTGAAACGTATTAATCTTTATTTATGAAGCCATTATCCAACTACAGTCCTAATTATCAAAATTTATACAGTAATCCATATGAACAAAAATTTCATACTTCGAAAGTTTCAGTTAATACACGAATACCTGACAAGTCTACGAACTCAGCGTTCTTGAAAACCGAACCTTTGGAGAGAAAATGTTAGTCTTTTCTTGTGACTTATTTTTGCATGTAGAATCAGTACCCGACTAAAATGATTTCTCTGACACCCTGTATACTACACATATGTACAGTTTATGTATACGACAAATCGTTGATCTTTGCTCTCGCGTTGCCCTGTGTCCCCTACTTCTTGGTCCCGTGATCAGCTTGCCCGCAGGTAAATACCGGTTTCACCGTGGTTTTGGTAGCGAGCCAGTCTGATTATAGGCTAATCGAACGCGGCTAATCGGCTTACGTCATTGGCTAACCTCTCGATTCATCCATCATTAGCAGACACGCGATCTTTAGATAGTAAGTGATCGAGAGATGCGACTGTCCGCGAAGAACGATGACTGGCTTATTTAATCTAATGCAACCATCGTTTGATGCCGAAGTGGATTTCTTGATATTCGGGCGGAGACCCAGGATGATTCGGGGACACTATTGATCAATTGTGATGAAATGACAATTAAATTTATGTAACTGGAACTGTCAGACTAGTCGTTCCTATTCAGCTCTTAATTGGTCTCCTATCTAGAAATTTTGCGAATTACTCGATGCAAAGTGCGTTACAGCATATGCAAACGATAATAGCATTTATTCACAAATACACACGTATTATAATACATTTACATGCAAATAAACTCGGACACACTTTCGAAGCTCGGTAATTATTAAAGGAAAATTCCTCAGAACTCTTATTATTCAAATAAATTTCTTAACTGCGGAATGTAATTTATTTGAATGGAAAATTCTCATGCGTGTTACAGAACCGAGGGTCCTTAAAGACGGAATCAATTCAGCCGCGGCAGAACTAATTGATAATTATTGAAGTAATTGCTCTGACGGGTTTCCATATTGAGCGAACAGGGAGACCGGTTGCATACCTACTATTATGTATATTCACCTGTGGCACATGGCGTCGGTAATCAAATTAAGTTTTACAGCCCTGGGATAAATTTTTTATTTGCACTCTGATGTCCAGAACAATTTAATAAATGTTACATTCCTTCTTGTGTCTAATAAATGTTGTTCAATTACGTATTTTCTCTAATGTAAAGAAGTTGGTAATATGTACGTCTCTTACATATTTTCATACTTATATGTACGGTATATACATAGATGTGTAAAAGAAATATTCTGAATTTTCTCACAATTTCTCAAATGTTACAAAATATTTTAATAAACAATACAGCTATATTAAATCTAACCGCATTTCTATCAACCATTTATATTAAATTGACTAAACGAACCGTGGGCCACGTATGGTCCAAAAGGAAGAGAGAAGAAGTAGAAAGAAAAAAATTGATCATCATCGTGAGCAATCAGCGTAATCATCGAATCAGGCCGGTCACTGATTGTTCGGTGGTCGGGTAAAATTAATAAATCGGCCTCGGAGGACCGACAATCAAGCAGACCCATCTCGTGCGCGTGACATTTAAGGAAAAAAGAAAAGCAAGAGTCACTGGCGGGGTAGGAAGAGAGAGCGTAATCTGAATGGTCGTCGGACCGGCTGGCTCCGTTGGCTCGCCGTTGCATCGTAGCCAGAGTTGGGGCTGGCCGGTTGGTTTGGCCCACTGGAGCGGACACCCGGAGGAAGCACACCCGCCGGAACGTGGCACGCTTTGTAGCCTCGAGTACATATGTACATGCCTACGTATATACTCGGCACACGTGCACGCCACGGATACTCGCAGATATTTCGCATGCGAATACATACTTACATATGTATAATCGGGTTTGCGTCATCTACGGGGTGGTCGCCGCATCTTCCGATACGTGTGCACCCTGTCGATTTGACCTTTTTTTAACCGACCGTCTCGCAATATCGAGTCACGCCCGTGATACGAATTAAAGTCCATTTATACATCGCATCGACGAATCGAGCACGAGCCGAACTCAGACCGAGCAATCGATGCATGAATCGATAGCGATTTCTCATTATTCTTAATTATTTATGGCTCGCTCTGATCAATGTCAAACTGCCATTTGTCAAAAGTTAGTAGGTAATGATAGATTGTATCGCACGTGATTATCACATGGATTTATCGTATGATTAAAATTTATATATCACACTGAAATATAATTTTCAAGCGGGACTGATCGATCGAACTGCAAACCAGATTAACTGACTCTACAGATAGTGTCGATCGTTTCTTAATCGTCCGAGAAAAATTCTCGAGTCTGAAAGTTTTTAGGTTGATTCGAGAATTCGAGATCAATCCTTTGCGCGTACGAAGCGCAATACGTATAACTGATTATGAATTTTACATCTAGAAATTCATTTTTACGTATGACATGACATGAAATTATTTTTATTTATGACATTGTTATATGCCACATCTAAAGTACGGACTACCCTGTATATACTTGTGTTCGAGTTTAAACGTAACAGGGTGAGTGCACGGAAGAGTAAGTGAAAAGGAAAAGTACGCACAGACAAGGGGTTGAGCAGGAAGGCGGGTGAGCAGGCAGAGAAGAGAATACATAAAGTACTAGGCACTAGGTACGGACCGAAAGGGAACTGCGCACCACTAGCCGGAACCGTCCATGGTGCAGTCATCGCGACCATCTCTCGTGTCTATCGCATCTGCATACGTGAGTGACGAGCCGAACGCGTAGTCTGCGTGCTGCACGCATGTATGTATTTACGTACGCAGAGGCATGCGCGGTCACGGGGCTGAGAAACGTGGATCTCGTATACGAGCCTTTGATGCGTACCAAATAACGAATAATAAGTGAAAAGTTCGCTTAATTTCTACTTGCAACGTGTATTTATTTGGAGATGAAACTGATCAATAATATATACGAGAAGTAGGATTTTAAGGATGTATTGGCTATACAGTCAATTCCAAAAGTTTATGCACTTTAGAAACGCATTTTTTAAAAAGAAATCAGACGTCGGAAGAACATTGCTAATAATAAACAACAAAAAAAAATTTTCG